TCTTGTTCAGCATGTGCGAAAACCTATAAATCGAAATTTTAAGCCTTCTATGACTTTTACTTTCTGAGGTCTGGACGGTTTTCTAGAATCCGCTCGATGCAAAATTCAGCGTCTAAAAATGGAGAGCAAAAATAAGATTCGGTTTCTCCGCCAAGACAGGTGATGGAAGAGGGGTTTTTTCATCCTATGTAGTCTATTGCATGGTCTATCCGATAATGCGATCAGATCGTTTTTAGCTCGGACCTTCAGCCCGACAACGAAGGTCTTCTCAGGATCTTAGGGATCTATGTTGTTTGACGCCGTTGTCGAGCGTATGGCTTAAGTATAAAACGTGATGCACTTTTCCACAGACATTCAAGTGTGAACTATCCGGATCCGGTCTCAAAAGTTTGGAGTCTTATAAGGATCTCTGTAAAACCTTTTGGGGGGTTCTAGAAGTTGATAAGATTAAGTAAAGATAATCATATTCGAAAAATGATTATCTTTAATCACGATTAAATTTAACTGTGAGTAACTTTAACCGCCTCTATTGGAAAAAGGATCATGATGGCGATGCTTGCATATGATTACTCAATTGCAATAACTAATTACTTGAAGGTTCTTTTGCCTACTGAAGAATTTTTCTGGCATTACTATACTCTTTTACAGATTAATAAATAATTAAGTAATCAAAATTTTATAATAATAATATTTTTAATAATAAGCTTTTTATTAAAAATGACTACGCAGGGTTACGAGCATAAACGAAGGTGAAAAGATCGTGGTGGTCTGAGGAAGAAACAAACTTATTGCTAAATTTGTTAAAAGATGGAAAGATATCGAATGAAATGGTTAGTCATTGGAATCGTGACGCCTGGAAAAAAGCACAAAAAGTTTATTAGCAGTCGGTGTCAACAAATCTATTGATCAAATTATAAACGTGTTACTGTATTCATTTTAACCTTGCCAACACACTTATATACTCACAATATAGGATAGGACAGCAAAACCTAAAGATGATCGGTTAATATCTAACCGATTCTTTTTTTTTTTCTAATAAAAACTATTCGAAAGGAATGTATGTTTTTCCAGATGGATTGGAAAGGAGGATTTTAACAAGAATGGTCGAGGATAGGAGATTAATACCACCAAAATAATCTACTAAATAGAAACCCTTTGGAGAATAAGGTCAAGTTTTTAATGCACATAAGAGCTTACGTGTACATTAAAGGGTGGAGGAATGGAAAACAAAATTGAATGCATAGCCTGTCCCATCAGGTACAGAGTCAATGAGTCTGAAAATAAAATGAAGAATAAAATAAGTATATTTTTTTATTTCTTCAGTGTAATTCTCTAGATTGTTGTGTTGATAACAAGGTAGCGCTCGTCTCCACTCGCTCGGTCCTTTGACTTTAATAACTCTGGATCTGCACTACTGAACGCCCTTTCGTAACTTTTAAATCGAAGACAATGCTCACGCCTCCCTTCGGTCGGCGTTCGCAGCCACTATAGCTGAGAAACGCTTTGAACTTCTCTGCTTCCACGGAAAAACCGTCTAATGTAAATAAAGCTAAAAGGTTTTCTGGACACTCTCTACGAATCCTAAGGAGATTGGAACTATTTTTAATCGATTCGCTATGATAGATTGTCTATATACTGTAAGTTTTATTATCCGTAGCCGAGTTTCTTTGTATTATCACAGTTGACTGCTATCTGGCGACATCTATCCCGACCTACAGAAAACCTTTGCTTAACTTTTTGTCGTTATGCACCAGTAGATATTTCAGATCATATCTTTGAATATATTCTCTCTTGTGGTTAAAAAGGAAAATTTTAATGTTTCTCGTTTATGATTGGCTTATCTATAAAATATCTGACAGTCATTTTTCCGTATTTTGTGCACACACACTCAGACAACCATTTTGGGTGGTGACTATTTTTACTGACCGACTGACTTAACTGACCAAATTTGATTGGTCTATCCCATGGTTACACCAATCAGATTTGGTCAGTAAGGTCGGTCGGTCAGTAAAAATAGTCACCACCCCGTTTTGTAAGATCCTAGACTAAAGTCAAGGGAATGACCGTTACTGGTCGAAAATTCTACAGACAATTATAATATAAATAAAAAGATGAAGTCAGAAATAGCTGCAGTTAATACATCTGACTGAACCCATATCTCTTTCACACTTCATCATTGACGTACTTATTATTCTGAATTTATCCTGCCATAATGGACTCAGATTGACAAATCTAATCCGTCTCAATGATGTAAACATTTTCCTTTATTCATCAATATTTTTTTATTATTAAGCTTTTAGTTAAATGAAGTAAATTGTTTTCTTAATTATTTTGCGTTTTATAACTTAAACAAAGATCAAACATAGTGTGTGCATCAATTCTCTATAAAAGAGTATATTATAGAGTAACCAAACGTACAATACAAGGGATAATGATTAATGCATATTTACATTTAACAGTTCGCTACTTTATACGAGCATTACTACGTAAAAAGAAAAATAATTAAAACCATGACTTAATTTAAAAATGCAGCATTTCTCTCGCACAGTCTAAGTTCATTAACAGAGCAAAAATTTAGAATTTTTGCATTCAACTTCGGTAGAGAGAATACGCTGGGCTACGAAAGTCCCAACGGCACTATACTGTTTTCCGAATCATATTGGAATCACATAATGACTAAGATACACTTCTGGCATTTTCCTTTTAAGAAGTTGCAATTTGTTGAATATTTTGTTAGAATATGTTAGGTTTTCCAAAGATCTCCTCGGAAACCTATTTCAGAAAAAAGGTTTTAAATTAGTGTCTGTTATAAACAGATGCCTCAAAGTTGCTTCTTTTGGATGATGAAACTAAATTCTCTAGTTCCCGTTCTTGAGTTATTCAACAAACAGCCGCAAGCCTCATAATTTGAAAAGGATAGTAGAAATTTCAGCAGGGCATAAAGAGAAAATGTTAATCTGATTTTTCAAAGTTTTCTGGTAGAAATATTCATCCAAGAGCACAATAGAAAATCTGTTGAATATTCTTGTGAAAAAAAAATTTTCTTGTCTTACTTTACCGAAAAGTAATACTAATTTTATGAATATATTTTATGAATACTTTTAGTATTACTGTTGCTGGGAATAGGAATATTTTTTGTACAGTATTACTGTTACTTGTAATAGGCATACATGGAAGCTTACGGTTACCAGTAATAGGAATATATACAATATTTGTATTAAAGGTAACAGTAAGAGTAATGTCCCACCCCTAATACTGAAGATTATTCTAATATACATTCTTATTGCTATTATTATTCATTTATTAGCATTTTCATATTTACTCTTAATTTTCTTGTACTCTTTAATGTTGTTTTTAATTCAAAATCAGCTAAACAACCCGCTGCTAATACTAAGAATATATATGTATATATAATAACCCTGTTTTCGAAGAACCCTTGCTTTGGTTTAAAAAAAGCATTTTGAAGCAAAAGTGTAAGTACGAAAGCTGTTCGAAATCTACTCCTGTGAATTATAATTTGAATTTAAAAATCAAGCTTTGCAAATTTTGAAAAATTCGTCCCTCATACTTTGAGGAACTAGAATGCACCCTGAAGAGCACAATTTTTATACGCAAGAAACTTATAACAATGAATAGAATGTTTTACAAACCTATTTTAGCCCGTTCAACATCATCAGCTGCTGAATATGCAAATTTAAAAAGAACTTCTTCCACACACAGAGGGATTTCTCGTCGATTCATAGCTTTGTGTTCTAGATTTAATTTTAAATTTTCCAAATGATTTTTATCGGTGACAATTGATAAATTCTCTTTCGTTGTTAGTTTAGTAGACATTTTATTAAAAATAATATTACATAGAGTTGTTCAGATAGACAACGAAACGGTTTAGAGTAACCAGATGAGGCAACATCCTAGAAAGAGAAAAGGTTATTGTCTTTTCTTTGATTGGATCGCACCGCATCTACTTAGCCTCATCGTACCTGCTGAAAGAAAACAGACTACTTAAACCTTTAAAGATAAATATAAAAATTTGAATAATGC